AAAGCGATTCTTAAGTCTCTTCAAAGAAGTTTAAAGAATTGTTCGAAGAAAGTTCAATGTTAAGGATTCCACGATCATTTCGTTGGGCATGCGAAGCTCGAATGTCTCAACAAACTCAAAAAAAAATTTCTCAAGAGCTGTCCACATTTCATAAATACACTTCATCTAGTTGACGCAGTGGCGGTCGCAGGATTTCCGGCCGGAGAAAGGGGAGGTGAGAGGGAATTTTTTTTTTTTGAAATGGAGGGCAAACTTTTTGGGGTGCCTCTCAAAATTTTTGTGGGTCTATAATCCCTAAAATCTAGAAAAAGGGGGAATAGCGGCAGCCACGCTCCCGAAAAAATTTTTTACAGGTACTGTTGTTGGTACTTACTTAACTCTATCAAATGCACACCACTTTCTATTTTAAAGGTCGAAATTCGTCTTCTCTTTCTCGCGGCCTATTTTTTATTACACTTTCATCTTAAGATGCTCATTAGCAAAAATCTTTGTGAGGCTAATTTTTTCAAAACTAACAGTCAGCTCTAGAAACAATGAAAAGAATAAGAAAGAAGATATCTAAACACCATTTTGTTCCTATTTTTAAACTGTAAGAGTAGAGCACATTTCATTTGCTTGACATTCGTAAGTCGATTTGTGTGTCTTTTGATCTTCATTGACAGTAAAGATTTCTCGCTGACAGTGAGTACCACTGCAAAAAGATATTGCGAAAGAGTAATAGTCTACATAAAACAAAATGAGGAAAATGATGTCATACGATTATTTCTTCACATATCTACCAATCCTAAATGTGCAAAAGCGCCCAAAAAGCTGGAATAGGATCCTGGCGTAAGATGATTCTATACCAGTTGAGATTTGATTTCTTTGAAAAATTCAAGAAGCGTTGAAAATAAGAGCACATTTCGCTACGAAAAGATACCGCGATGAAATCTGTATCATTGGAGAGGTGAAGTGAAAACTTTTTGGAGTACTCGGCCATGCAGAGTATTGAGCGAGCTAAGACAAGATAGAAACTCAGATTCTAAATGATTGGACTATGTTGAGGAACATGGCCACAAAAGGCATGTGCGAAAAGCTTCTTATGTTCACCTTCTTATCATTTTGTGGATAAAGCGCTAGTTCCGCGCGGTTATCAAGACAGAGCAACACTGCTATCTCGCCATTACGCTAGCGAAAGCATTCGCTGAAGAAGCTCCATCAATCTATGGCTGATTTATCATAGCAAAAATTGAGATAACATTAAAATGTCGCAAGGAATGGCAACTAAACTTTCATATAAACTCTTATAGATAGCCCAATGGAGGAACTAACGTTTGAGCACAAAAGTAATTGTTTGAATGATGATATTCAAGCTAACAAAAGAAATGTCCGAATTTTCTCCCTGAATGCTATTAACTAGTAAGACGTAAAGTTTAAAAATAAGGCAAATAGAGTTCTATTAACGAATCATGCGCTAAGCACATCATTTATGATTGTAACAATGTCATTGACAAAATTACACGGCATTTTTGCGAGTCCTGATTGCAAATATTGGTTTCAAACCAAACCTGTTTCCTGAAGATCTCATGGCAAATGTTAGTATAAAAGCCTATTGCAAATTAGTACTGGAAATCAAACGTTGAGCAATTTGTTGTTTATCACAGTAGGATTGTGTGATAGAACTAAGTTTCTCCTTCTTCTTGAATCATACTTCTTTCCGGTTAATAACATAATTTTTAGTCATGACAAACGGCTAAGAGATTTTTCAGCGCGTATCCAATTCTAACTAATCTTTTATCCGGTTCTCCAAAAAAAGACATCTAGTCCGATACGTCCTGATACACCTGCTAAAGGAGATGCTACAACTACAAAAACTACTTGAGATGGTGCCGAGAATGGAAAAACAGCAATTTTGGCTTGGGTGAGACAAAAAGTGTCCCACGAAGATTTTGGAGAGCATTCAAATGCATTTCAGGAAACAAATTGAAACAAATCGGAATCAACAGGCTTCACGTCATGAATAGTACTAGCGCACCTCATAGAAATTAGAACACAAATTCTACCAGTGCTTACCTGCTTTACCCTCGGACAGAGCTGGTACAAACAAATTAAAAGATTAGTCTTCGAAGGTGTAATTTGCAGCTCTATGATTCAAATGATATGTGAGCATTTATTAGGGATGCCTGGTGAATTTAGACTTATTCCTAAAGAGCAGGTAAATCATAGCGAAAATGAAGTATGAACTGCACCAAAATAGTCATTGCTAGAGAAAGGTCGAAGAGAGAGAAAAAATGTGCTATATGCTAAAAAAAACAAAAACGGTTTGCTTTTTCAAATATTTGGAATCCTTCTCATCATCTGAATATCTCAGAAAAGCCTGACGAGGGATGTGAATCAAGGCGCTTGGGCTTTGAGTATTTTAATTTGGTTGACATAAAGCAAAAATGTTCCACTACGTTATACAGGAAAAGTGGGAGATTCTGGGGTCACACGACTCATAACTCTAAAAAAATGGCAAATTAATGAAAGCGTATCCGGGCGAATTTTGGGGAAAAACCGCAACAAAAGAAGCTTGAATTCAAGACATTATAATTAGCCAAGTCAAACCCCATGACTTGAGAATTGTAAGTGTACCCTCCAATGCGGTTATCGTAATCCTTTGTACAAACATCGAAGCACGTCAAGGACTCAGTTTTCAAGAAACTTAAAGTGATTCAATGGGCATGACTTGTTTTGAGAGATCCGTGCAGCTGCACTACCATGACATTCCCTGAAGCTGACAGCCTGAACTAATTTTGGACTTGATGAGTCACTGTTAAACACTGGCAAGCCTCAGCTGAATGTCCAGAGAAGCCCGGTGACAAAACATCGAGCAAGAAGAGAGGCCATCGGCTCTAGTAATGCGATTGCGCCCCTGAAAGTTTTGGTCAGTATCTATGCAATTCATATGAAATTGAAATTAAGTAATAGTTATGGAGCTGAGCAATATATGGAGTAACTTTTCAGAAGTAGCCAATAAAAGTTCAGATTTAGTTTTTATTAGTTTTTTCTAAAGTCATAAAAGTGTATAATGACCTATCACCTGCAAGTCTTCAAGGCTTCACAAAGATTAGCTTCGTCAACGAATTTTCGGCGGCGTAAAGCAAAAACAAAAATCATTTCGGTTACGCCCTTTCATTTAACCAAAAAAAAACTTCCACGCTCATCCCCAGCGAAGAAAATTTCTTACAAGGGAATGGTCAGAAGTCGAAGTGGCCAATCCTACAAGCTGCATACCAATCGATGCAGCATAGAATGCTGATTTCAAATCTATCTTCCGTATCTGCAGAGCGCCTTTGTAGGCGAAGTTATGAGCAGCTTTACTGCGAAAAAACCGTATACAAAAATTGCAAAATTAGGCGCATTATTGCCCTTTCAGCTCAACTCTAGGTACGGGTCATATGATGTGACCTAGTTGCAAGTTTTGGTCCGACAGTGAGCTAAGAATGGCTTTGTACGGCCAAGTTTGCATTTTACATGCCCAATTTCTTAGCAAAATAATGGCCTTCAACGGCTTATAATTTCGTCCATAAAAGCGCTCTGCAGATAAGGAAGAGAGATTTAGAGTCAGCGTTTTATGCTGCATCTAATGGCATGCAGCTTGTATTAATTGGCCACTTCGACTTCTGACCATTCCCTTGTTAGACTGCCACTGACAGGCAACATTATGCCATAATTCGGGGTATGCAACGAATAGGATATTACCCAAATATTTTTACAAGTATCTTGATCAAATTTCCTCGACTAATGGACCAGTTTTACATTTTTGCAAACTAGGACGTTATTATTGAAGTTTGCAGCAACAGTAGATTTGTTCCACTAACGCAAGGCCTATGTTTACTTGCTCTTTTTATCTGATGTACACTGACTGGAAAGAAGAAGTAAAATTCTCCGATGAATTCCATTCATTGCCGACCACGGACAAATGCCACAGTGAATGTTTACATTCTTCAAAATCTATCTGTATACGGATCCCACTATCTATTGCGCGCGAACTGGAATTAATCCCCAGCGAATAGAACGCTTACGCTCTTATCGTTTCACTCAATAGTATTTGGCGAGGAGAGTCTGATGCTTACTGTTTACTCATCAAGAATCAACGGCAGAAGTGCCTGAGTTCCGTCTTTTTGCGCATACGTTGCTTGGGGAGTGATATTTGATACCGCGAAAAAACTCCACCAAAATACGCTAAGTTAACGGACGTTTCTGGAATGAAACAAGATGTATGGAGTGATTTGACACATATGCAATCCTCTTCCTTCGTTTTTGTTCGTAGAGAGGGGCGCTAATTAAAGTAGGGCTTATGCCAAGAAGTGGGATTTTCATTGCCAAATGAACACCAATAGCACATTTTTAGTGTATAATAACTTTCTAGCTTCCAAATTTATGAGAGATATAGAAGGTCGTTGCATGGCCTGTTTAATCTTATTATCTCAAAGTAAATTCAAAACATAACTGTTGGATAAACTTTGAAAAGGCAACTCCCATTAAAGTAGTGCTTTGCAAATCTCAAGAGTGTAGATGAGAATTTGTTATTTATTTATGCATTCATTTATTTTATGCACTCAAGGTCCATCGGAAAGAAAGAATGCAAAAACAGAAACATAAAGTCTAGTCAGTAACACAAATTGGGTAAACCTTTTTTCTTTCGATTTTTAATTTTTCTCTCGCATCGCAGGTTGAGCCGATTTCTGCGTCTTTATGAATCATAGATATAAGTAACTTGTTTTCATTAAAATTATCATACTTTTGCGGACAAGAACTTGCATTTTTGGAGTTTTAAGAGCACAAGCTTGCAAATATTAACAAGCTTCCAAAGAAATTCCCAAGGTACGTAAAAATACATGCTTCATTCGGGGACATCCTATCCCCCCTGCTCCTCCCTACACTATCACACACTCATAAATGACTGTATCCTGCCTTTTTCAGCAGCCTTTTTTTAGCCTGCATGTGGGCCTCGAGCTAAGCGAACTATCTGGACAGCTTTATCTACCAGAAATCACAAAACAGAGGCTAAACATTACGTCCAGATAAGGAATATTATGACGCATTCTCTCTTTTGGGAATTAAGAATGTAAATGGTTTAGCCAATGTTTTTCACCATCGCGGTTATCACAGGCACGAACGATACTCCGAGCATTATACCTGAAGTAAATATTTGGTTGGCCTAAAATTTCTTATAGCATTGAGGCGCACCCGTGATTAGAACAAGGGCTGCAGACATTCCGGCTGTTTTTGCCATTGATCCGGGAACCACTCTAGAATGACAAGAAATATCAGTTCTTTGGTTTTACGTAAGGAAGTCTTTTTCAGTACAAAACGGCAACCTGATTTGTTAAACTCAATATAACTTCGCTAACCTTGGAGTATACATCATAGAAAGTGAACTGAGATAACCATGGGATAGTGCCATCACAAAATTGCCAATAATTAAAAACCATTCATTCTTGAACCAGACTGGCATCACCCGTTCGCTAGGCTTATAGTTACACAACATGAAAAACGGAATAAAAAGGAGTCGTGCAGCGACCGGATAGATCAGACCTTGTGGTCCCGGCTGCAAATGTACGTACATTTTCCCTCAAAAGGTTATTTTTTGCTGTGAAACTTACGAATTGTACAAAATTTGCACAAGTGGATCCGATAGCAGCCATCAGATTGAAGTTCAGAAACACCGTAAGTGCCAGAAAAAGATTTGCTGAAGGACGCATACACTTTTAAAAATTGACGAAAAAATGTTTCTAGTTGCTTCATCTCAGCTATCGCTCAAAAATTCGGTAAGGTTGCTTGATATATTTGACTTCCTTACGTGGAATTGCGCTATTCCATGGTTCTCCTACTGCATTTGGAGTGATACCGGCCATTACTGCAGGAAACACTGCTAGGGTTACAAAAAACACCAAAAACACAGCAAGTAGTTGTACCCAGCACTGAACATATATTCTTAATTCTTAGTTCCCTCAAAATATGACAACCAAATGGGGTTTGTCAAACTTACACCCTTCCAAGTCTCCCAAAATTGCTTCAGACTAGGCCTGCCAGCGTGCTCGGCTGCTCGTTTTTCATTACCTTTCTCTATATAGTATTTGAAGAAGTCCTAAAAAATTCTAGCCTGACATGAAGTTTTGTTATAAAGCCAGATTTTGATTTTTGGTCATGAGCACTGTTACGAAAAAAATTGCTATCGCCTGCTTCAGTTATACAAGCTGTGACGGTCCCTCTTCGTGGCCGAACTTAATAGCGGAGCACTTCAAAAATAAATGCCCTTTCACGCTTCAACAGTTTGAGGGACATACATCCCATTTTTTGCTGCAAATGGTTACTCACTTGATCGCAGTGTCTATAGCAGCTCCGCGTAAGGGTCAATATAAGATTTGACAAGGGAATGGTCAGAAGTCGAAGTGGTCATCAAATTCCGCATTATATGTAGCTTAGAACGCTGACTCTGAATTTGTCTTCCTTATCTGCTAAACTCCTTTGTGAACGAAGCTATAAACCACTACAAGCTATTATATTGCTAAGGAATTGTGCGCGCAAAACATTTTGGAAGTATAGTGCCATATTCGGCTTGAAGGCCAGGCAAGTCTGGACACATGGGGATCCCACGTGGATAGTAATTTTGGGGCCTTAACTAAGCCATTGCCCAACCGGCAGCCCAGGTAGTGCTCTAAAGGCTGAGATATTCCCCTCGAAACTAGACTCCGCGATCGTATTTCGCATGGATTCATGGCGCAAAGCGTATGTCCTGGCGCGAAACTGCCATGAATCCATGCGAATACGATAGCGAGGTCCAGTTTCGAGGGAGATATCTCAGCAGTTAAAGCACTACCTCAGTTGCCGGTTGGACAGTGGCTCAGTTAGGGCCCCAAAATTACTATCCACGTGAGACCCCCATGTGTCCAGATCTGCCTGGACGCTGCCTTTAATGCTGAGCCAAAATATCATTTGATTCAACTGGCTTGGCACCGTCAAGGCGGGGCTTCGTGACCTGATTAAGGCTAGGTAATGTTGAGAGAGCACTCGCGCGAGAGAGACGCAGGGGCGTCGCGGGCGCGAACGGCCTCAATTACGTCACAAAGCCCCGCCTCGGTGCCAAGCCATTTGAATCAAAGGTTATGTAGCCAGGTCACTTTCTAAAGCCCATACCCAAAGGTGAGTAAAAGAGCAATGATGTGCTTTATTTGCCAACTTTTATGCAGGAAATTATCGCAAGAAAACTGCTCATTCGTCTACAAAGGCATTTAGTAGTTACAATAGATAGATTTGAAGTTAACGTTTAATGCTGCATTCGATAGTATGCAGCTGCTTGGATTGCCACTTGGACTTCTGACGGTCCCTTGTGAGCAAGATATTCTATTATATTCTCCGTCAACGGCAAAGCTAACCTTTCTAAACGCTTACTTCTCAAATGACTTAATTGCGCAAAACAACGCTTTACAGTACAGGGCGTCCAAAATATGTACGCACTGTTTGACCGTTGATGTCTCTCTTACTTAAAACATTCGCGTACGACCCACCGATGAGTCGTACGTTCATTAAAGCGCAAAATGCTCTGGTCCGAAATGGCAGCAATCAAGAAATCGGCTTTGTCATGAATGTGTTAACAGTACTGCAAGAGCTACTGCCAGATTAACAGCATAAGTAACTTAAAGCTGTTTTCCGCTGACACTTATCTAATATATGAAAGGCTCTTCTTTAGAGTGGCTTCTGTAGCGAATGGTGCACGGCCAAAGTGATCGTAAAACAAACGCTAATACACCAATAATTGGCCTTATTGAGGCTTACCCACCGTTCGAGTCAATTGCATAATTGATAATCCACATAATATCATAACAGCTAAAGAGATACAGAAGTACACCAAGGCAATTAGCTTGTTATTATCAGGGAAAGCTCAAAATTTCGCTTTTACCGTGGTTGAGGCTAATCCTGTAAACCTACCAAATAGAGTCAAGATGGCCAGCACACTGATGAAAGTTCCGCAAATGTTATTACCGACAACAATAGCGTTTGTGTACTTGAAAGGAAAATCCGCTAACAAACCAAAGAGAGAGTTCTGTAAGTTTATACTGGCGTAGTCTCAAAGTTTTGTGCCACATTTATATAACCTGATACAGGCCATTTGAAGAATTCAGCACTACGATGATAATCATTGTTACAACATAGAACCAGCCCATAGCTAAAGAGTAAGGTTTGACAGAGCTAATGATGGATATAACCTTAGATTCAATTGGATTGGCGGCTGGAAGGCAGGGCTTTATGACCTAATTGAGGCCCCTCGCGCCCGCGACGCAGTCTGCGTCTTCCTCGTGTGCGTGCTCTCTGACACTCTTAACGCCTTAACTAGGTCACGAAGCCCGCCTTCCAGCTGTCAATCCAGTTGGATCAAAGGGTAAATAAACCTTCCACAGCGGGATCTTGTGCAGTAATTAAGACCACCAATATTGCCACAATTATACAGTTCGCTATAATTGTACCAGTAACTCGGACTAGCAGCGAACCACTGGAAACCATCGAACTCAAAATATTTCACTAATCCCGAAAGGGAAAGTTCTCAAACCCGATAATTTGCATAACATTGATAAGTCCAACAAGAAAGTTCGGAATCTGCGCAGCAATTCCTTGGTCAGACATGAAATCTCTGGAGTAAACGGTCTCGTTCCCGCCGATTGTGAACCAGTATTTGACGTAGAACTAAAGTGATCAGATTGAAATTTTTAATCTTTTTTCAACAGTTTGAGAAATTGGCAGAATTATGTACGCTTATTGAGTAACAGAAAATGGCGCTGCAAAGCTAGCAGGAAGATCTTGAAGTATCCTGCAGTAGTTCAAAAGAATAATGAATCTTACTTCAGGAGCGATGGTGATGAACATATTCCACGGCATCAAGACGCCGATACCATGCAACACAACTATCAGATAAACCATTTTGAACTGAATTAAATTAAATTAACTGAATTAAATCGGTGCTCTCTCTAGACTCCCATTAAGTCAAGTACCTTGTCAACTGGGGCCTCCTCTTCCCCCTTACTTTCTTTTTTGCTCTTTGAATCCCATCGTTCTTTCATCTGAAATTAGTTTTGTTGTATGGAAGTGCGCAGCAGAGATGGTCGGATGCTAAGTTTTTGGTGCCTTTTGTCACTTCCACTGTTGCGATTCATGACCTAGTTCAGTCTAGAGGTATTTGCATGTCTTTTCCTGACTGTGAATGTCTCTGTTACAGAATTCGTGAAACAAAGTATAGTCATGGATTAAAGCCACAATTTCGCCTACTCTTGTTGTGTATGTATGCTGAATTTGCACGAAGGCGAAAGAATACACGCGCAGTTTCTTCGGAAATCGCACACCTCATTTAGATTCATTTTGCTACCATGTAAGTCAGACTCAGATAAGGCAGTATAAGTTTTCTTGTATAAGATCTTCTCATACATAGGAGCTAAAGAAAATTGAGGAAATACATTCTTTCGCGAAACTAACGCCCAGAAGAGCTAGCTAGGGAGAAGCAAATCTGTTGAGGTCAGCTACAAGGATAAGCGTTTTTTGCGCTATTATGTCGCATCGTCGGCTTTCCTTCCAAAGATTCGCTATGCTATGTCAATGACAAATCGTGCAGCATCCGACCACCACAATATCAATGGAGGATCTTTTGCCAGTCCTCATCAAAAATATGGCACGGCTATTTGTGGTATCTGACGGAAGGCAAGGTTCCAAATCAATGAAAGACTAGCAAGAAGGTTGCTGTACAAAAAGCAAGACCTCGCGACATCGGCAACTGTCGCTTTGCCTGCTTGCTGTCTGTAGTCTCGAAACTCTTTATGCGGATCATTTTCAAAAGGATCGGAAGCGAGTTAGTCGAAGGACATTCGTGCAGCAAGATGTCTTAGGAGGAATCAGCACTATAGTTACACAACCATTGAGTGCAAAATGCCACTTTGTTTCCATCTCATCCTCTTGAAAGCCTTCGACTCGGTTAAGACTGAAGCAGTCGCCGATATCTCCTACTCAGTACCTCAAGATCTTTTGTGAGTTATACAACCACTTTACAATCACCACCACACTAGTTTATAAGTACATCAACATTGACATGAAGAGATGTGTAAGTCAAGACGATACTATACGTCAAACTTGATAGTTGCCGCCCTCGAAAACATACCTACATTAGAATGGGACGAGATGGGAGCGAAAGTCTTAGGCCGGCAACTGCATCACCTCCGCTTTGCAGATGAAAGTAACCCAATCATTACACAGGCGGAATGAATGCTCAACTAATTTGACGGCATGCGTGGAAAGATTTTCGTCATGAAGCTAACGAAGACGGTGTTTATGAGGAAGGGAAGATTGCCTTGGGCTCCTTCCATGCTTAAGGAAACAGACCTGAATGCTGGAGCTACATCTACTTAGACCGAACATGATGAACATGAACACCTAGCCCCGGGAATGAGCAGGTGGAAACGCGCAGCATAAAGAGCGCCTAAGGCAACTGAGGATGTAGTGGAGAAGACCAAAACAACCAGTTCCACGGTCATCTCAGCAGCTCTCTCCATGTCTCTCCTGCTTTGACATTGCGCTTTTAAATCTTAAAGGCAGTGTCTCACCAAAGTTGAGGTCGCATGGATTTTCACATATTCTATTATAGGGACTTCTAAATAGGTCAATGCAATAAGTCCCAGCCAATCTGACCCCCTCCATGCTGAGAAAAATTCGCTCAAAGTGGTACGCGGAGAGCGACTTGGTACGCGCGGACGACTCCTTCGGTCTCCTCCCTTACGCGTATGAACATGTTCCTCCATTTGGCATCCACCTCCGCTGTGTTGCTGCAACTGTGGCTGAGGCTGGAGTTGGAAGGTACAACTCGTCCACGTTGCTTTCGCGGGGCCTCCAGAAAACGGGGTTTTTGGAAACTTCGTGCGATTTTAGGCCCATACAGTGCTAGACAGGGTCCGACAGGCTTGCAAAATGCAAAAAACTTGGCAACTAAATTTTGGTGAGACACTGCCTTTGAAGGCATTGTCCAGGTCAAATGGGGGGATGGTGGATTTTGGCGCAGTGCAGGAGCACGGCTCCCGACTAATGCAGCAGTTCAAGTTCGATCGAAAAAGGTGGATTCTGAGGCGAGAAAATCGGGTCCGATCGAAAAAGGTGGATTCTGAGGCGAGAAAATCGGGTGTGATTCGCACGACCGTAATGCCTTCCACACGGGACCGCCGCCGCGCGCGGCACACCCTTCGGCGGTTTTTGCTTAAGCAAAGCAGGGGAAGGAGAGATTTGCGGCGTGCGTGACTTGTCAAGACAAGTCAAAATCAGTGTGGCGCTGGAAACCGCCCGTGCGAAAAGACCGTCTCCCGAGAAAATCGCTTCGGAAAAAGGGGCGGACACTAATCCCGCCTCCTTGACGAGTTTCGACGGTTAATACACTAGGTCTACAGCATACGCTGCCACGTCAAAACTTGTCAAGTAGGCGGGTTATCGTGCCGCCCCTATTTTTCCGGAGCGATTTTCTCGCTTCAGAATCCACCATTTTCGAGCGGAATTGAATTGTTGCACTAGTCAGGTGTCGTGCTCCCGCACTAAATAAGTCCCCCCCCCCCAGCTAATTGGACAACCCCTCTAATGAAGCAGGAGGGACACACTGCACGAGGTTATCGAACCTGCTGTTGGAAGAGTGATGCTAGGAGTGACTCAATTCATGCAAGTGAGAAAGGGAATCACTCTACGCTAGAAACTGAAGAGGACGCTGCAGCTTATTCCTAGTGAAGCAAGATAGAGTGGGCTGGACGCGTATCCGCTTTGGCGAGACGTGCATGAGAATCGTAACAGGTCGGAACCACAGAAGTCAAACGCGAACGAGAAAGGAGCCGATGCGATGATCGGATGCATCCACACTTGGCCCGTCGACGCCGTCTAGGGCTTACGATCATAGATGGAACGCCTTGAAGGAACTGCAGATCTATCTTTCCTCCACTCCTTTTCGTTAGTGAATGGTCGAGATGACGAGATTCTGTCACAGATAACTCAAAATTAGCCGCATTTTGGCAATAACTCGCAGAAAGTGCAAGGTGGAAGACATGCACCAAATATTTACGACTGTGAAGGAAATGAGGGATCAAGTGATCTGAACAGTTTTGAATGGTGCTGTAATTTTCCTTATCATGATCTTGCTTATCTTATCTGGTATTGTGTATCAGGCACGTGGTGGCATGCGTATCTTCTCGGCCGCTATATAGAGCGGTTCCGCTCGGCTAAAATCACTTTTGTCTTCGGGTTACCTAGCGTGCGGATCAATCAAGCAGCCGAGCCGAGAGGAGACGCTGCCACCGAGCGCCTGGAGGAGGATCTTCAATAAAAGGATTGCAACACACCCCTGGACACCACGCCAAGCCCCCGCGATAGCGCCAAGAGTAGGCCAACTATTGCGTGACTTGGGGACCGAACCAAACGAAGGACTCCTCCGCCGAAAGGACCGTTGAACCGGTCAAGGCGTGTAGCCTGCCATTGTAACGGCAGTGTATATTTCCCTTATTGAGAAGAACTCGGTGCTGCACATCGAGCCTTCTCAACCGTGCGGAGAAGCGCGTCAGTTACACGGCCAGCTTCTGTCCTAAGGGGCGAGGCGTACGCGCGTGTACCGAGTACTGACAAAGCTTCTCGGTTAGGGAAATATACACTGCGTTGGTGTATCATATACACTACTGAGGCCCGCTTGTGTGAAGAGCGGAGCGACGAACGCGTGAACTGTTTTGATATATCGAAGGTTCAAATATCGTGTTCGCGTCGCGTATTAGCAAAGAAAGGGGAAGAGAACAAGGAAAGAAAACATTCATTTCAGGCAACCATGACCGAAGATATTGATAATTTGGAAATTGACAAGCTTCTCTTGGATGAGCCATCGCACTCAGAACAGCTTGAGTCGATGAGCAAAACGCTACAGAACTTGGTAAATGTCGTTCAGGACATTGTCAAGAAGGACAAAGCACAGGTAAAGCAAGAACTGACGCGCTTGAAAGAGGGACTGGAAGCGCTTACAAATTTGCCAGAAACGCTCGCAGCCCAGCCTGAATTAACTACTCGCGCTCAGTCCAAATCGCGCGAAGCTTTGGTAGGCTTAGGCTCCCGCCAGAGTGCCGAAGTTATGCCAGCGCTACGCCAGCATTTCGATCGATAACGTGTATTTCGTTGGGGCGGGGCCAGCTGACGTTCCCAACGAAATACACGTGTATCGATCGAAATGCTGGCGTAGCGCTGGCATAACTTCGGCACTCTGGCGGGAGCCTTAGCGCGCGACTACATCATGACTGAGTGTGAGGGAATCAGGAAAGTGCTGGAAACGCTAGGAAAAGTAGCAGAGGACCTCAACTCCGCAGAAAACCTGCTGACTCAAAGGCCACTCGCTATTTATCGGACGCTAAAGCGTGGCGCGCGTAGCCTTAAGCTCATTGATGACCTGGTAGCGATCATGAACGTCCAGCCTGCGCTTCTTGTAAGAGCAGTGAAAGAAATGAAAAACAGCTCTAGCAGACCTAAATCTCAGACCATTCAGGTACCATCGGTCGAGCCGGTACCTTCAACGTCCCAGCAGCCGGCGATCTCGCAAGAGAACGCCGAAGAGTTTGGAGACGTGGTCTACTTTGCGGACTTCGATCCAATAGCGGCGGCACAAGGCAAGTCCCAAGCACAATTAGTGAGAAATGGGACGAAGGATAATCCCCCTCAGTTTCAGCGCGAAAGGAGGAACTCGTCGCGAATGACAGTGGCATCGAACCTATCTACGTCCAGCAGCCAGTCGCAAGGTAGGTTCAACGATCGCGACACTCATCCTATGGCGCAGATGTTCGCTGCGATGACCCTGCCGGACGTGGAAACTTTTAGAGAACCACAGGGAAAAGGGTGGGATGAGTTCGACGGCTTGGGGTTGCGAAATGAGATGCTAGTGCAATTGTTCTTGTCGAAACTAGGAGGACACCCAAGGATGGTCGCAGAAGCGTTACCACGAAGGATCAGAGAGGGTACTCTAGAGGAAATCATTGAGGCAATGCAGAGTCAGTTTACCGTCCACGACTCTGCAAACCAG